CGTCTCTTTGGAGACCGCGGCTCCCGCCCGCCTCCTTGCTCTGCTCCCCGCCGGCTTTGCAGACGTAGCGGCTCAGGCTCTGGGCCTTGGGAAAGCAGAAGGTGCCTAAGTCCCGAGGCGCCGTGGTGAGTGCGAGGCGAAGTTTGAGAGGCCGCAGGGGCCGGGGGCAGCAGGGAGGGCCCAGCACGCGCGCGGAGCCCGGGCTACGTGGGCTACGTGGGCTACGTGGGCTACGTGGGCTACGTCCCGTGGCGCCGGCCCCTCGTCCTGGCAACCGCCCGACATACCCTAGCCTTGCCAGTGGCTGTCGGTCCAGCACTTGGACAAACCCACACATCTCCGTGAGCGACTTCAGTCCCTAGGAGGCCACAAATCCTCTGGCTATGTGTCTTGGGTCCCCCTCTTCACTACCTAGCATAGATTAGGGGCTCAATAAACACTTCGGGAGTAGCTGAACCTCCTTTAGGTCTTCAGCCTCCGTTTCCCAGCACACGAGGGGGAACTGGGCTGAGTCCTACCGCCCGGAAAACCAATTAGTTTCTGAGAGGAAGGGTCTAAGTGCTGCTCTAACACAATTTTCTATCCCTTTCCTTACCAGCACCTCCCCACTACCCCCACCTGTCTTCTCCTTTGCCCCAATTTAAAATCATAATTCAAAGCCCTTCTCAGAACCAGTCTAGGGTACAAATGGGAAGCCTTCTTCTTAGGCAATGAGCTTTTTAGAAAGCAGAAGCCACCCTCCTCCTGAGATACCCGAACTATTCAGCCCCGTCTATAAACAGTGGGTCTTAGGGCAAAACTCTAAGGAAATTGGTCTAAGGAGTAGAAAATTCCGAAGGGAAATGGGAAGTGCATTCAGTGGGCCCTGGGCTATCATTGAAAGGGGAGGCCTAGAAACAAAGGAGCTTCCTAGTTTAAGGAAAGCCAGATCTAAGAACAGCTTAATCCCTCTCTTCAAACATCAAAGGCATAGTCAACTATCCCCCATTTTCACAGAAAACAGAGGCAAAGTCTACGGGATTCCGTCCTAGAAGAGCTGGTAGATTTTAGACTATCCTATGTAAAGAGATATAATACCATGCCCACCCATGAAACCAGATGGTGCTACTGATCCACTGTCACTTGAGCACTCACTAGGATGAGGGCTTTTCCCAGTTAGAATTGACTTAAATGGCTTTATCATATCCTTTTACCCCATTTTCCATACTATCAACTACACATTTGTTGACTTGTTAGTATTCACACACTAAAAAGTCGATTTGAATTTGCAAATAATAATCTTATTATTTATTATTATTATCATTTTAAAATGGAGCATTTTAAAAGGCCAATGCCTGACACACTGAACTAGCTCAAGAATTCATCTGGATCTAGGTCCCTGCTGAAAAGAGAGCTGGGTAACAGAAAGATTTGAAGATGTTTGGGAATTATTGAGTAAACAGTTTGAACTTGGAAAGGTTGACAAAAGCCAAAAAAAAATGTGACCATAAAAGAACTAGAACTCTGAGAGAGCATAAATCTGATGCAAACTGAAATATAAATAAATGCAAATAAAAGTGACATTGCCTTGAGAGGAGAGGGCAGAAAAAGAGGGGTTGTTTCCACTTTTGGATATATCTAGGCCAAAAGTCAATAATTATTTAATAAATAAATAAATAAGACGAACAAAAAAGGAAATTCAGTAAGGGTTCTTGCCTTTGGGAAGGTATCTTCCATTTTGACATAAACATATACAAGAACTAGAAGATAAAATCTAGCCAGGCTCAAGATCCCCAGAGACTTAAACCACTCCCCTCCACCCCACTTGACAGATTTGAGAACTGAACCAAGAGGGATCAAATGACTTAGTTACAGAACCCAGACTGGAACCTAGCTTCTGATTTCGTCATTCTATCACACTGCCAGTGAATTTAGTCAAGAAAAGTAGAGATAAATACTGAATAACTCTGCAGAAGCAAAAAGCTACATGCTCATCACTCTTCCCTGCACTGATGAAATGACACATTTAAATATAAACAGGAAATGGGTAAATTATGTTGATTTGAAAATGAGTATAATTATCGGAAATGAGGATTTAAAGACTATGGAGAAATGTGAAAGTGTCTAAACATAATGTTAAGTAGAAAAAAGTGGGGTACAAAATCCAGGGCAGCGCAGTGCTAGTCACACCCGAGTGAATACCAGTTCTGCCCCTTATTTGCTCTGTGACTTTAGGGAAATTACTCAACCACTCTGAACCTCCAAAAGAAAATTGAAGTCTCCATCTCAGAGGATCATTATGAGGCTAAATAAGAGAATGAATGTTGGAAAAATTTCTGTCGTATAGAAACGTTCAATGTTAACCACTGTCATCATAACTATACACCATAAATTCAGCTATGAACTGAACGACTGGAAAGTGATATGCAAAAATGAAAAAATTGCAAAGGTAAAACAGGATTATAAGTATACATTTTTTATTTGCTCCAATAAGGCTATATCATTTTTTAGTAAGAAAAGGTAATTTTAAATGGAGACCTCAAAAAAATGCCATACTTGGGACTGATGACTTAGTGTGCTCTTTCTTCCAAAGGGGCCCAAGGGTCCCGGTTCCCAGGCCCTCAGGCTGTGGCCAGATGGTGGAGAAGGTTGATGGCTGATGGCCTGAATCTCTTGGAAAAGACGTGTGGGCGGGGTGTATGGTCTAGAATCTAGACTATACTGAATTGCTCAGATCAGACCCTGAGAGAACTTTGTAGCTACCAGTTGAATCAGATTCTTCCATTCATGCATTCACTCACTCATTCAAACACTCTTTGAACCACTGTTGAATGCAAAGAACTGTGCTAAGAGCTTTTAAAGAATTAGACTGGCCTGATGGATGAACTTGGAACAACATCCATTATATAAGTGAAAAAAAGCAAGCTTCAGAACACTGTGTATAGAATGCTACCATTTGTATTAAAAATAGATATGTATACATATTTATAAACGTGTAAATGCATAGAATTATTCAGAAAGAATACACAAGATATAGATAACAGCAATTAACTCTGGAGAGAGGACAGGCTGACCTCCATCAGGAAGCTTACTTTTCATTGTATACTCTTGTATTGTTTGGATGTCTTATCACATAATGTACTAATTAAAAAAAAATTTTTTTAAACAAGTAAAATAAGGTGTGCTCAGTGCTGAATGTGCAGTGGCGAACAGGGCAGGGGATGTGGGGAGAGTCCTCAGTCTCAGGGAAGGTAAAGTGTGTTGAACTTGCTGAGCCACTAGTGTTATATTTTCAAAACCCAGACTGTTTACATAAGGGAACAGTTCTTTCTACACACTCAATTAGCTTATAGTAACTCAGCATATCATTTTACAGAGATAAAGCAGTTGGAAAATAAATACTAGTCATTTGTCAAGCCTCAGCATAGTTTCTAGGAGGGTGGGAATTTTATCTGTTTAACTTGATCAGGAGAGCACTCCAGCTAATGTGCAGATAAGTGCCTGTTACAGCAAGCTTTTTCTGATAACAAATGATAGCGCAACCATTAAAAAACACCTTAAAAAAAGAAAAGATCAAAAGATATTGGACCCTGAGGGAACAATGTTCCCTGTGAGGCTGGGTAACCTTTTCTGGGATGGCCCCCCCAAAATGGTCTTCAAATGCAAGTTAAATCCCAATGAGAATCAAAGTTCATAGAGACACCGCATGTGCTTTCGTCACAAGCAAATGTGATGCGCAGGGCCCTCCTTGGGGTGACAAGGTACAAACTGACTCCAAAGAGAACCTGGAACGCCAACTGTGGAGGAAGTAGGAAAGCGGATGTCTAGATGGCTGCAAACTGCTGACAAACTGGCAACCGGCCATAGCACAGTGGTTGATGTCATGGACTTTAGAACCAGTCTTGACTCAGCACCATCACACTTATAGGTGGCCCAGCAAGTTACTTAACCTCTCTGAGCCTCAGTTTTCTTCTCTATTAAACAGAGAATAACTATGAGATCATTGTGAGGACTAAATAAGAATCACTAGAAAGTATTTAGCAAGATGATGGGCACAGGAGCAGGGCTTAACATTCTATTGTCATCATGTTCACTAAATAATGGAGGTGTCCTGGACCAACTGTAACTGACCATCAGCATCCAAGTCTGAATGGCAGGAGAGGTACACTCCACACTCCGCGTCCTGAAGTCACATCAAGAATCCCTCACTTTAATATAATTTCATAAACTAGAAAGTGTTTCCACACTCACCATTTCACAAAAGCCAGAGAAGCAAGCTGGATGGGAATGGCTAGCTCTGCTTTGCAGGGGAGGAGCCGGTGAAGGCAGAGGCTTTGTTAAGAGCTGGTTAAGGGCAGACCCCAGGCTGTGACCCAGGTTTCTCTGCATTCTTTCCACTCCACGCTATTCCCAGGAAGGAGAGACGGATCTGGGGCCAAAACCTGTGATTTGACCACCTCCTGTCTCTACCTCCAGCCAGCACTGTTTCTGGGCAGGAAGAGATTCAGCCATCCATTTCAAACTCTTCTATCAGCCCCCTATAACTCCTGTGAATGGACCCGGGGTACAGGGTGGGCACCCTGCAACTGGAATAGGAAAGGGATGACAGTGCAGTTGGGGTAGCTCTGGCTCTGCAGGCAGCCTGAATCAGACCGATCTTGCCTTCACTGCCCCCTTGGCAAGCAGGGACACGGTGACCTTGCCAGGCATAGCAGTCATTAAACAGCAGACTCTCTCCAAAACTGAGGCAGGTGCTAACCTCTCCCAACAGCATTAGCACTTCCACTAAAAATGGGGCATCTAATAGAGGAAGCAAATGGTTTTGTTTTCAATTGTGAAAAGGTCAGCATATTTACCTGACTTAATAATTTGTAACTAATATGCAATGCTTCCCTTGAAAGATCACCTCTAAGAACTCTGCCAGGACCCACTTCTTTTTGCTACACTAGATCCTGCCAGGCCCGGTCCCACATCCCACATTTCACCCAGGCAAGGCTGCGGCAGCCACTCAGGTCACAGGTCAGAAGACACTCCACACACACCTCCTGCTCCTTGTGCTGAGTCAGGCCCTAACTCTGCCATCAGTGAAAAAACAGTCCAGCCTCACATATCTAATCCTTATTCTCACACATCCAGGTCCCCTGTGACAGTGGCGATACCGAGACCTTGAACACTGTAAGAAAATTACAAAATTCCTCCCTCTATCCCTCCCCACCAGCCCTACCAGTAAAGGGTTCTCTCAAGTTGAAAATCCATTTGGAAGAGAGATGGTAGTGCCCAGAAAATTTCAATAGGTCCTATAGCCGATGCTGCCGGCCCAGGGGAGACCTTGGAGGTGATTCTTGACCAGCATTAAGACCCTCCCCTTCCCCTTTCAGAAGGTCTCTAGAGAATCAAGCAGAACCAGGCTCCTGGTTTCCTAACCATAGCTCCAGAATCTAGAGTGGGCCTTCCGTGAACAGTAGAAACACTGCCCTCCCTCAGAGATGGGAAAACAAGGGGCATCTGGGAAAGACCCTTTGGGTGGAGCAGAGTGGGGCCAGGCTCACTTGAAGAGGAATACAAGAGCCCACCTGCATGGTAAGAAGAATTTTTTATTTGAAATATAGTCTGAGCAACATGAGTGTAGCCAAGAGGAGGAGGGGCTGGCCTGCCTGGGGCAGCAGCCTCTCTAATGGCACAGGAGCAAGAATACAAATACCCCAACATCTGTGTCCCAAACCCCACTTGTCCGGAAAGGCGGGACAGCCACAGTATAAGGACACACACTCCTTCTGAAGGGTCTGCCTCCCAGCGCCTGCCTACCTGGGCCGCATTTCCTCTCTCCCGGGTTCCAAACAGACGTGCTGTAGAAGTTCCTCCCACCCACACAGATAGGACGAGCGGGGGTGATACATTCTCCAGGAACATTTTGGTGGGGAAAAATCAGAGTGGATGGGAGGGAAGAGCAAGTTGACCAAGGCTCTTGCCAGGCCAGGCTGGGCAGCGCTCCCCCAAACACTCTGTGTCAGGCCCCCTCATCCCTCTTCTCAGGCCACCTGTAGGCCCAGAGCCGGGAGGAGCCCCCTGGCTGAGAGCAGCAGGTGGGAACCTCCCGGAGGACTTTCACGCGGAGTGGACAGCACTGGGGTTGGGCCACTGATGCAGCCTGGGGTTTGAAGAACACAGACAAGAGTTGGGGTACTGAGAAGCAGCAAAAAGCCATAAATAACAGAAGTAAATTCAGATCTGTGAGGTCCTGGGTGACCCCACATCTCCTGGAGCTGGGGCACACCCAGCACCTCACAGCTCGGGGCAGACACTGCTCCAGGGCACAGCCTGCCACGTTCACGCCGGCAGAGCCGTTTGTTTCGCACTGTCCACACGGCAGGTGGAGGGTGCCACGGCACCACCCGACCGCACACACTGCCAAGCCTCGGGTCACACCTGAGGGGACAGTGAGTGGCCGTCCTGGTCCTGAGAGGCCTGTGGTTGACTCTGAGCATCTTGGGCACCGTCCTCCTCGGGGGCCGGGCCCGGTGACCTCCTGGCCTCTGGGTCCCCCGCCAACGGCTCGCCGGCACATTCCTCCAGTCCGTTCTCCCTGGTCTCTGTGGACACTTCCTCCCCGGAGCCCTCCTCTGGCTCCGCCGCCTCCACTGCCGCCTCTGCCACCTCCTCCTCCTCCTCCTGGTCTCTCACCTTGTGGACGATGAAGAGGTGGCGGCTGAGGGAGCCGGCGGAGGTGTAGCACAAGCCGCAGAGGAGACACTGGGCGGTGGAGCTGTCCACCCGGTGCTGAGGTATGTGGCTCTGAAACTCGAGCCCCGAGTCTGTGGCAAAGCTGCATTTTGCACACTGGAAAAGCGACTTGTGCCTCTTGGTGGAGGAGACGGTCGCGCCGTTGCTGGTGCCGGGAGCGTCCGCCGCCCCGCTGACCCGTCTCTTCAGATGATTCACCTGAAGGGGACACAGCGTGAGCCAAGTCCAGGCCAAGCCAAGCCTGAGACAGGATCCCCCAGACATGACCAGTGCAGCCCAAGGCCTCGCAGACTTTCCACCCAGGCCAGGGTCACCTCGGCCCTGAACGCTGGCTTAGCTTTGGTTGGTTTGGGGTTTTTTTGTTTGCTTTTTTTAATGCAGCATGTGCTTATGGTACCACATTCCAAAGACATAAGAAGGGCATGGAGATTACATCCTCCTGCCCACTCCCAGGCCTGAACTCCAGAGAGCACCGTGTCACCAGCTCTGTGGCTCCTCCAAGAGATACTCTACACACATACGCAAATAAGACAGCTCTTTCACAGAATGGTAGCGTTGCGTGCACATTGTTCTTCGCCCTGCTCTTCAGTTCACATGGATTGGCGCGTGTCTCCGTGAGAGCTTATACAGAGGCTCCGTTATCCTAACAGCGGCACACAAACCCACCGGGGGTGAGGGGGGCACAGTGCCAACTGGCGGCCAACTGAGTTCCATCTTTGTCAAGCACACAGTGAACATCCTTGAACACACTTCTTTGTGCCCAAGGCCAAAGATATCTGACAGATAAATCCGAGAGGCAGACTTGCTGGACTGAATGGTGTATGCATTTGGAGGGGCAGGAGTGTGTGCATTTTAATCGCAGACAGATGGTGCCAAAACGTCAACTGACACTCCACTTGCTTGTGTGAAAGGGCCTTTGCTGACTAGCACCTTTCCCTGAACAGCCAAGAAAGAATGTCCTGGAACTCCAGGAGCTCTCAGACTTCCCCAGGCAGGCAGGGCCCCTCTGAAGAGCAACCCCTACCATGGCACGGAAGAGCCTACAGTGAGGAGGAAACTCCGGCTGTTCCCAAAGTTCACCGGGAATGGGCATGGGCGTGGCAGGTACAGGATGAGGTCATAGCACAAGGGTCCAGGAGAACAAGAGTTAGGGCCTGGCCTCTCCCATACCTAGTGGGTGGGGGCAGCCAAGCACGGCCATCGTCACCCGACAGTCAGTCCCACCCACCCACTCTGAGGACTGCAGTAAGGCAGAAGCAGGCTGGTGCGTGTAAATGCTCTCCCATGTCACAAAGCACGGCACACTCCTAAGGAAGGGATCACAGTGACAGGAAAACAGCAGAAACAAGAGGCCAATGGGCTGCCTCATGGATCTTTCTCCCTATCCTTTACTTGTATGCAGTCTCAGATGGGTCACGCAGAGCTCAACAGTGACTCCCATTGAGGGAAGTTGTCCCTGCTGTTGTGGCATAGCCATAATGACAAGTGAGCACCCCGTGGCCTTCCCAGTGCCTCTCCAGCTCCAGGCCTCACCAAGCAAGCTGCTGCGGTGTGCAGGGACCCTACACTCACCTGAGGGGAATGTCCACCCGGAGGTCTGACTTTGGACGTCTGGCTCAAATCAGGGTTTCTGATACCATGCATAAGGCTGATGTGACTCTCCAGAAGAGAGGGCCGAGGAAAGCTGGGGCAGTCCTCTGTGCAATACCTGCGAAAGGACAGCCAAAGACACTGTGTGAGACGACAGCCTGTGGAGCCCAGTGGAGCCAGGCGGGTCTGGCAGGCAGGCAGAAGTAGGAGCCGCTCCTGGCTCCAGGGGAGAAAGAGTCTGAAGCAGACAGAGAGTGGGCTGGGTGGTCCCTAGGTTGGTTGGGGAGTGCTAGGTACTCCCTAGAAAATCTAGCCAGCAAGCCAGCCAAAGTAGCAGACAACAGCAAATCAGAATATTTGTGCTGCCCCTCAGACACGATCTCACTCTCCACTCCCGGACAGCACTGCCCAGAGACCCAAGTGCTGGCTGGTGGTCAGCATGAAGGAGGCCAGGGTTTGTCCTAAAGCACAAGCAGACGGTACTGAAGCCTCTTGGCCCAACAAGGCCCACAGTCGCATCACTGCTTATCTGTTGCCTTTGATCCCTGATCTCATAGCAGAGAAAAGCCCTGAGGTGCCATGGACAGTCTTCTTGGATCTCGGGTCCCTTGGCTCCCACTTCTGGAGACTTACCCGCAAGTGTAGACTTTCTTGACTGTGTCGTGGTTGTTGCGGATGTGTTTGCGCAGGCTGCTGGGGGTGTGGAAGGACTGTTCACACTGCCGACATGGGTACCGCTTCAGCGTCTACAGGCAGTCACGGAAAGCAAAGCATCAGAACCATAAGATGGTTCTGGGGGCCTTTCTTCTCAGATAACATGAGCCAAAAGGAGAATGCCCCCAAAGACGTCAAAATCTGTGGTACCCACCCTGGCCAAAGCAGCAGGAACCCTAAGGGGTCAGACACTGAACGGGGCCCTGGCTTCATCGGAGAGGACCTGACAAGGCACCGTGACCCTGACCGCACTTACCCGACCATGGCTCTTTTTCACGTGGGACACATAGCTCTCCCGATCAGGAACCCACTCCTGGCACTCCTGGCAGGTCCAGCCAGTGCTTCTCAGCCGGGGCTTGGCCTCAGCCCTGCGATGGGCCTCAGACCTGCCCCAGCGGCTAGAGGGCAGGGAGCTGCCCCGAGCAGCCACATGAGTGGCTGGGGGCTCAGTGGGAACTCGAGAGCCAGGGCGGCTTGAGGACGTGTCCGCTGAAGACTGGAGGCTTGACAGCTCGTCCACGTTTCGGGGAACACCGTGGGTGCTCTGGGGATGGGGAGAGCGATTACTGACTGGGCAAGGGGAAAGAGGCATAGAGTCAGACCCCCGGCCTGAGGCGTGCCACCTCCTCCCGCCCTGCTCCCCTAGGGCATCCCACCTTGACGTGCTGCATCAGCTCTGGCTTCTGCAGGAACAAGAGCGGGCACTCAGGGCACTTGAAGACGCCCACCTGGGCCTTGCTGGCATTCTGGTAAAAGTGCTGCTGAATGTGCCTCTTCTTGTTGAAGACCATTTCGCAGGAGCACTTATACATGAGCCTGTGAGACAAGCCCCAGGGCGTGAGGTGGCCAAGGCTCCGCGGGCAGAACCACACAGTCCCCACCCCATCTCCACTCTCTCTGAACCAGGGTCAGATTCGGGAAAGCACTACTCTGAGCCAACATGGATACTCCTCAGCCTCAAGATGTCTTTGGTGGACTCCAGGCAACTCTGCCACTAGCCCCAGCTCCTAGTACATTCCACTACCTCCCCTTACAGCATCCAAGCCACTCGGCTCCGCCCACAGGCCTGCTGGCCCTGGAGCTGCACTCACTGGGAGGGTCTGTGGGGCTGGGTGGGGTGCTGGGTGGCGCTGTGGTCCGCGGTGCTGCTGGCGGTCTTGAAGGCCATGGGGCAGAAAGCACATTTGTGGAAAACCTGGCAGTGTCGCTCCTGGATGTGGCTTTTCAGCAAGGCCAAGGTCAGGTGGACGACCCCACAGTGGATGCACCTGGAGGGCAGAGGTGTAAGTGTGGAGGGGGCAGTGTCAGACCCAGAAATGGCGTTGCGAAAGGAGGGATGGAGGGCAGGAACACAGGTGTCTCAGAGCCCCTCCTTCGAGCACACGGTCTTCCATCCTCCACTTGTACATCCTGAGAGCCTGCCAGCTGCCATTTGGCACAATGTTGTCACCCAGCGCCCCTCAAGCCCAAGGCCACGCCTGGTAGAGAAGGGAGGAGAGAAACCCTCCCCTCCCCAACCAGAGGATTCTCTTCTGCAAACCGAAAATGTGAGCCCAGCTAAGAGAAGTTTGTGGGAGTGGACAGGGAGGGGAGTGGCCCAAAAATGACATAAACAATATCCATTAAAATGTGATACAGCTGCAGGGGTCTAAGAGGAATTGCAGAAGGAGGCTGCAGACAGCCTGTGCCTTCCCACAGGCTGGTACTGAACAAGCAGGGATGGCCACTGAATAAAAAATAGTCAGGAAATGCTGCACTCCCCATAACCACCACAATGAAACAAAGAGCCCAAAGCTCATGAAGAAATACTCTAGCGCAGCATTGTCCAGGGGTACTTGCCGTGATGACGGAAATGTTCTACAATGTACTGTCCGTGTTGCTATTTAAATTTAAATTAACAAAATAAAATGGCCAGTCACACTGGCCACACTTCAAGTGCTCACTGGCCACACGTGGCCGGCACCACTCCCGACCACGCAGCTCAGAGTGCTGTGCTGGTTCCTTGCTGGGCCCACGGGTAACTCTTTATCTGTTTCTCCCTACCCATTCATATTTTCTGAGCTTCATTGAGTGCATATATCGTTTCATAATGTACGAACTGTATGAAACCATTTTTCTGAAACTGAGGCCATGTTGGACTCTCCTTCCAACTTCACAATCTCTTTATAAACACTGCCTTTCCTTTCTCCAGTATGTGGCCTTCCCCTTGCCAACCTGCATCCACTCAGGTTCCCAGACCCCTCATGTGTTCAGTCCTTCCTGCCCAGAGGTCTCCTCTACACCAGCAAACATCTTTGATTTCCCTTTTGTTGCAATATTGCTTGCCCATCAACTGGATACCTAGTAGGCTCTAGAAGACAGGCTGCTGCTTTACTAAAAGAAAGGACATGCCTTCACTTAAGGATTCTTCGACTCCCAAATACTTCTCTTCAACACACTACATTAGCCCATTTTCAGTCCTCATAAATCATCACAGAATCCTGACCAACCTTTTGTCTTTATTCCATGCGTGTGTGCGTGCGCGTGCATGTGTGCATGCATGCGTATGTTGGGTGGGGTTGGGGGTAGGAGCAGGGGCAAAGAATCACCTTTGCAAACTTACTAGCTCACAGAACCAGAAAGCTATTTGCAATGAATTCCAATGCTTTGGAGTTTCTATACAAACTACTGACGTACATTTTCTTTTCTCTCCTGCTAAACAAAATAGTGACCAACTTAAGCACATAGAAGTACTTCCATACCACAAGGTACCAAAAGGAGGAAAAAAAATCCATATATTTCCAAATTCATCCAAAGTGGACAAGCATGCCTGATATGTGGAAGGAATCTCTTACGTGGCCTTATTTGTGCAGTGTGCCCAAACTCCTACAGAAACAATATAAATATGTTCTTCAAAAATGTAACTAAAAATCCATCCTATTTACCCACTCTTCAAAGAAACCTCACTGAAAGTAAAACATGAAGGGGTAAAAGAATACATGCCAAGAGGCCTTGGTGAGGGACTGAACTGGGCAGGGCTCACAAACTGAGGAAAAGTATGCAGAGATCCAACCCCATGACAACTCTTTACTAATTTTTAAAGAGAAAACAAACAATTATAGAATCATATGCTATGAAATACGTGGTTTTAGAAAAGATAAAGAGCAGTAAAATTTTTAGTTTTGCTAATAATCACAAATAATAAGAAAATAATGAATAAAAAAAGTCTAAACTTACTCACTTATGACATCATTGGCCATTCTAAATTATCAACAAAAAGCAAGATAATTTGTAGAATTCTAAATATACATATATATAACATATATACACCTTACATAAAATACATACACATAGAATATATAGGCTTTTTACATTGTCTTCAAGAAAAAGCAATAATAATATAAAATGAAGTAACACTGTAAAACTGTAGTAGAGCTCAATAAACAGGAACATAGGTGCCTTTTGAGAGTTCATTAAAAACTATTAATACCTACGGAATGGGAAAAAATATTTGCAAATCATGTATCTAACAAGGGACTTGTACCCAGAATATATAAAGAACTCCTACAACTCATAAGAAGATAACAAATAACCCAATTTTAAAATAGGCAAAGGATCTAAACAGACATTTCTCCAAGAAAGATATACAAATATACAAACAGCACATGAAACGATGTGCAATGCCATAAGCCATCAGAGAAAAGCAAATCCAACCCATAATGAGATACCGACTACACCCACAAGGATGGCTATAATCAAAAGTCAGACATAACAACTGTTGGTGAGGATGCAGAGAACTCAAAACCCTCATGTGCTGCTGGCAGGATGTAAACACGGTACAACCACTCTGGAAAACAGTCTGGCAGTTCTGCAAAAAGTCCAAGTCACCAGATGCCCCAGCTCTTCTACCCTTAGGTGCATATCTACAAGAACTGAAAACATACATCCATACAATAACTTGTACATGAATGCTCATTAGCAGCCTGACTCATAATAACCAAAACATGCCCATCAACAGATGGATAGATAAACAATGTGTGGTGTATACATACAACAGGTCATCATTCAGCCATGAAAGGAATGAAACGTTCATTACAAAGATAAATCTTGAAAATATTACGCTAAGAGTATAATTCCATTTATATGAAATGTCCAAAAGAGACAAATCTATGATACGGCAAATCAGTGGTTATTTATGGACTGGGTGCATGGGAAGACTGTTAGTATAGTTTTTGGGGGAGTGATGAAAATGCTCTAAAACTGATTGTGGCGACTGACTGCACAACTCTGAATGTACTAAAACCACCAGACTATATACCTTAAATGGGTGAATTCCATGGTATGTGACTTATATCTGAATAAAGCTGTTACTTACAAAGACTTTAATAGTTTAAATCTTAAGTGTCATGAATATTGTACTAGAATGTATGCCTTCAGAGTTCAATCACAGGTCATTGATGATTTTAATGTCAATTATCTTCAGTAATCCCTCTACAGCTGAATCACATTTTTCGCTGACATTCCTTATAAAAAGGCTTGATAAACTGAATTGCTTTTGAGATAGTGTTTCTTTTTACTCATACAAAAGAAAATAAAATTAGAAGGCAAAAAAATTGCTATTAATCCATCTGTGCTATTGGAAATTTCTTAGATTCAAGATTCAAAGATAAAAATCTTAAGTGTTGATTGCATTTCTGTTGGTTTGGTTTAGATCTTGGAATAAGCAGTACACACTTAAGTCAAAGTTTAAAAGATATTTTCAAATGTTATAGAATACTGTAAAAACACACATCAGGTGTTTTTGGTTTAAAAATGTAGCCTGGGATGCTGCCAACCTCTGCTCTTCTGAAATATGATGGCAAGGGCTTTGTACAAGCCCGTGTCTGGTTGTTTCATTTCTCATGCATTTTGGATTCTCCATTCTCCTAACATGCAAAGAAATTAGTCTATACTTGGACATGTTCACATCAAGAAAGAAACCTGGGAGTCATCACTAACCCCTCTCCATCCTCACCCCCATCTATAAGCTATCAAGCCTTAATGCTTCTACTTCTAGTGTCTCTCTCAAATCTACCTTCTCTCCATCCCTATGGCCATGGTTGAGCTGTCACACTTACCTCTCAACCAGTCTCTAGTCTCTTCCTTCCCTAATGTATGTGTCAGCTTCCCAGAAACAGATCTAGCCAGATCACTCCCCTGCTGCAAATCTTTCTGTAGCTCCTCACCGTCCACTGGATAAAGACCAAATGTCTGACAAGAAGTAGGTCTGCCTTCTACCAACTCAATTCTCACCAGTCCCCACACCGTCCTGACCCACCTCTACAGAGATGCTGATCTTCCTGTAACTCCTTTCAGGTGTGCAAGTATCCCCGCCCATTCCCTTGCCAGGTATCTTCTTCCTCTTTCTTCTGCCTAAAAATCTCCTAAATTCTCTGTGGAGTTTTGCTGACCATTCCTCCACTACGGGATTACTGTGCACACGGAACCTACCAGCCTGGAACCCTGTTGAGGATAGGGGCTGTGTCTTAATCATTGTATCTTGAGTGTCTGGCACAATGCTAAACACAATAATAAGACTCAGAAAAGGTTTATTAAATTAACTAAATTCATATGTATTTTTTTAAATACCAAAGAAAAGAAAATCTTACTAAACTTGAGCAAAATAAGTTTCATGAGTGAAAGTGATAAAGTAAAACATGAGAAGATGCAGAAACTCTCAAATGCGGTCAGTCAATACAGGAGCCCTGACTGGGTCACTGTGAAAGTTACAGATCAATGCCTTTGAAGGGAGCCACCTCCTCATTTTGCTCTTTTTCCAGAAAATGACTTCTTGCTTATATATGTCTGACACAATGGAGGAAATTCAGTCTAAAATAAGAGTTTTCTTGATTTCACTCTGAGGCTGATCATTTTTTTCCATTCTCTGGTTTTACTTGCTTCTCACGAACTAACAAAAACTAATCAACGCGAAGATACTGGAGCCCTTTAAGTTTCAGAGTCTTGCAGCTCCATTTGTTAATGAAAATTGAGAACATTTCAAAGTGCTGTGAGTAGGAAATTTATTATTGAAATAGTACTTTCAATTTAATATGCCAAACACAGTAAATTTGTGAGCAAATTAAGTTTATATACATTTTAAAAACCAAGCTGACAAAGTAAAGGTCCTATATAGTCTCATCTGCCCCAAAGCTTCCCCTTCAAAGCTATTTTTTCTGTTTAATTTTTTTTTAACTCCTTATTCTTCTCCCCTTTCTCTTCTTGTTCTCTAGAAAATAAAAATGTCTGTCCACATACCAATCAACATGCTTGCCTGAGCTGGAGGCCAGGACTCTGAAGACCAAAGCTCATTCTGAAACAAGTTCTGGCCCAGGAGACGGACCAGCCACTGAGCAATCCCAGGACAGGACAGCGAGCCAGGCAGCACCCACCTGTAGCCCACCTTGCGGGCATAGTGCAGGCAATTCTCCTTTACGTGGGTCTGGAAGTAGGCGGAGCGACAGAGTGCTCCACACTCTGGACAGCAGTAAGGGGACTTGTGTGTGTGGATCCGCTGGTGGGCACAGAAACTGCACTGGTTGGGCAGCAGCATCTGGCACACCTGGCAAGTCTAGGAAAGAACACCAAGAAAGCAGTTCATGCAGGTGCTGCAGGCCCCAGGCTCTCCAATCACAGCTCTCTGGCTGTCCTAAGACACAGGTCAGAATAACCCCTCCCCTAACCATCCTCTCTTCCAACTCTCTTAGGATACTTGGACACCCCAGACCTCGTTAAAAGTGTTGAGACTTACACCCAAGCAAGCTTTACCTCTCACCCGACAGTGTCCCCAAAAGTTAGTCCTGCTCTAGAACTGTGTTTCTTCCCTCCAGTTTAGCAGAGGTCCAGCCTTCCCTTTCCAGACGCCTAAGGCACTTCTTGAATCCTAAGACCTCACTTCACTGCCAGACCCACCAGGGCCTCTTCTTCACTCAGCAGAGGTGGCTCCCACTCCACACCTCCAGTAAGATGGCTCAGTGACTTCCACAGGGGACCTAAGCCTACCCTGACTGGCTGTAGACTGAATGAGTCGTCTTGCCCGTTTCCATTCCCTCAGCTTTGTCTGCCCACTCTTGGTGGGGAGGAGGTGCCCTGAGCCACAGCTAACCACATACACGCACAGAAAAGGCCGGAATAGGCAGCAGCTCCTTTGTTCTCAGCCCCGGGACAGAACCAAGGGAAGACAAGTCCACGGCCAGACTAACTGAAGCTCTAATGGGCAGAGCCCAGACTGCCAGAGGGGAAAGCTACCGACTGACTGAGCTGGCGCTGCATCTAGAGAAGCTCTTCTTAGTAATAAGGGGACACCTGGACTGCTCACTGAGTGGCCTGACAGGGTCAGAGAAGCTGCACAGAGGCAAAGTTGTTGGGAGGACAGGGAAGGACCTCTGCTTTTATCAGCAAAATCCAGAATGTGGGGCCTCTACAGGACAAACTACCCAGTTTTTTCCAGAAACTAATTACAAGGGGGAAAAAAAGACAGAAAAGGGAATTTATAGGTTAAAAGAGAGTTAAGAGAAATTTTCAACATTTACAATGCATAGCACTGATTTGGATCCTGATTCAAGCAAGCCAAGTGTAAAAAAGAATGAGACAACCAGAGATATTGAACACTAACAATGTTAACATTGAGACCTTTGACACTTGATATTGATTTGATAATGAAAAATTATTAATTCTGAGATATGATGATTATGTCTATATTTGGAGGGGAACCCTTAACTTCCAGAGATGTATACTGAAAAATTTACAGATGCACTGATGTTGAGATTTGTTTAAAAATAATCCATTGGAGGAGAGGGGCAGGTAAGAAGATACATGAAACAAGATGGGCCATGAGTCACTAACTGTTAAAGAAGCGTCCATTACACTATTCTTTCTGCTTTTATATGTGTTTGGGACATTCCGTAATGAAGTTTTTTTTAAGTATTATTTTAGGTGCAAAACAGTAAATGAACATGCTCTTTTGTGTAAGTAAGAATATCACACACACACACACACACCTGCTTATGTGATAAGCCAAAACTGAATAAAAATGGTTACCTATGGGGAAGGAGAGAGCAGGACTAAAGGACAGGGATGGAAGCAAGACTTCTCTAAGCGTTCCTTGTTACAGTTTGAACTTTGGAATGAAATGTCTTACATAATTTTTAAATAACATGAAATTGAACTAAATAAACAAAAGCATTCCCTAAAAATTGCAAAACAGAAACAAGTAACCTAACTCTATGTCAAGTCACTATGTATTAACCGTGGAGAGAAAAGAATTACTCCAAATGACTGTTTCAAATATAATATTTCAATCTATACATCCTTAATGTGATACATCAGGGCAAGAAGAGCTATAAAAAACACTTTCATCTTTATGCAGTTGTCCTAATGTTACAAATTGTATTGATTTTGACAGTTTGAAATTTGTGTGTATATATTCACAACACCCAAAAGGTGGAAGGCAATCCAAGTGTCCATCAATAGATGAATAAACAAAATGTGGTTTATACATACGATAGAATATTATTCAGCCTTTAATAAGGGCAGAAATTCTGACACGTTACAACATGAATAAACCACGTGACATAAGCCAGTCACAAAAAGACAAGTACTGCATGATTCCACTTATATGAGGTACCTAGGGTAGTCGAATCATAAAGACAGGAAGTAGAACAGTGGCTGCCAGGGGCTGAGGGGAGGGGAGAATGGGAGCTGTTGTTGAACGGGTGCAGAGTTTGTTTTGCGAGATGAAGAGTTTTGGAAATCGAATGCAAAAGAATGTGAATGTATTTAATGCTACTGAACTGTATGCTAAAAATTAATTAGGATGGTAAATGATATGTGTAGTTTACCACAATTTTAAAAAATAATAGAAAAGGGACTCCTAAAACACTATTTGAGATTATTAGGGCATCAACTCACTACTATAAAACCTTTTAACTAATTATGTATTTATCCCATATTCCAACATAAGCTATAAAACAGAGTAACCAAACAGCCCTCATGGAAGAGAGAAAGATAATTCATACACATTCCCAGCTAATAAAAATAAGTAATTACATTAGAAAAACATCCTTTTGCAACTCCTAATAAAATTACTGACTCAGGCAGTGATTACTAATGGATACTAAAACCAACCGTTAGGATAAGATAGGGACTTTACAACGAAGAGATAAGAACGCCACCACCTAAACTCCCTGAGAAGTTTAGCATCACTAAAACAGAAAATCAAGCACTCTGGGCCTCCCTGAAGCCACCGGATAGGAATGACATAGTGTTCCCCCTATTCAACCCTGAACCTGATCAAGCCTTTATTGCTAATGTCTAATGCACGGATAAAATATGGGATATAGAAGAATAAGTTAATTAAGTGAGGAAGCAATCAGTCAAATTCAAAATTATACAGGAAAGTTCTCCGGAAGCAATCATTTGAACTCAGAATTATCTTGGAAAATCCTCAGGACACATGACCCAAATCGATGCCATAAAAAAAAAAAGGGTCTGATGGGGTAGAGTGAGACAAGGTACTGCTCTAGATGAGAAGTTTAAAAGACTTAACAAACGTAAAGTATGTCCATGTTTGGATCCCAATTCAAAACAAGCCCAACTGTAAAAAGACAACTTTTGACAAAAATGGGAAATTTTGAATATGGACTTATTTTAGGAAATATTAAGGAATTGTTATTTTGTTAGGTGTCATAATGACATTACAGTTAATAAAAAGCTTAAGAACAAGAAGAAATCGTCTCTCTGTTCTGACATCTTGGAATGCAAGGTGAAGGAACCATCCAGCCACTGCAGAGGGAGGCAGCTCCAGTTCCGGGCGGCTCGCGGCTCCCGGGAAGAAGACAAAAGGCCAGAACGTGCTGTCCTGCAACTCCCACCCTAGAGTAGGGCCACACCCTACCCTTCCACCCCCTGCCTTGGACATGGCCTGAAGCCAGGGTACTGTTTTGAGCAACCCAAGTCCAATAGCCATCAAGGCTAGGTTTTGATCTCAGAGCTCAAGCCTTAATTTTTCTCTGAGACACAAAGGCTACTTTTATCAGCAGGAGATTTTGAAGGATTAGAACTAGGCTGAAAGAACTCTGACAGCCCTCCTGGGTGCTCCCTCCCTTCCTGTCAGGGACCACCTTGTCCAGCTCTCACCAGAGGAGAATGACACAGGATGAGAGGGTGCCAGTCTGGGATCCAATATCCAGACTTCTGCTCAGA